GAGAGTCGGGATTGTAGGGGGTGGGGGGATGATGGAATGGAGTAAGGTAGGATAGGGAGAAAGGAGAAGGGAGAAGGGAGAAGATAAAAGGGTAAAGGAAGAAAGGCGGGAGAGGACGGAGCGGATGAAGGAATAAAGGTGTATATGTGGCGGGGGCGGGGGGGGGGGGGGAGAAGATTCGGCGACTGGTTCGTGTCAAAGAGCTTTTGATGCCATTATCGTTTTATGGCCGAAGGAAAACAGCGAAAGAAGAAGGTAAATAGAAAAAAGAAGGAGAAATGGGGAGAACAATAAACACACACACACACGCACACATTTACGTGTGTGTGTGTTTATACGTGTGTTTGTGTTCATTTATAAGCATATCATGAGAACGATGAAAGGATTAGCGAAGAAAATGCACATTTCTTCTTTCTATTTCCTCTCTCTCTCTCTCTCTCTCTCTCTCTCTCTCTCTCTCTCTCTCTCTCTCTCTCTGTATATATATATATATATATATATATATATATATATATATATATATATATATATATATATATATATATATATATGTATACATATATATATATATATATATATATATATATATATATATATATATATATATATATATACATATATACGTGTGTATGTATGTGTGTGTGTGTGTGTGTGTGTATACATATATATATATACATTTACATTTTCACACACACACATACACACACACACGCATACACACACACACACACACACACACACACACACACACACACACACACACACACACACACACATATATATATATATATATATATATATATATATATATATATATATATATATATACGTGTGTATGTATGTGTGTGTGTGTGAGTGTGTGTGTGTGTGTGTGTATACATATATATATATACATTTACATTTTCACACACACACACACACACGCAGATGGAAAAGAAGAATATGAGAGAGAGAGAGAGGGAGCAATAAGAGTAAGAATTGGAGTAGAAAGAGGGATAGGAAAATGGACGAAAAAGGAAAAGAAGCAAGAGGAAGTTTTAACGGAATAAGCAGAAACGGAACAATAATAATTATATAAATAGAAAAGAAAAAAAAATAAGAAGAGAAGTAGGAGAAGAAGGAGAATAATAATAATAAGAAGAAGCAACAGAGGTAAAATAAGAAAAAAAATCATCACGAGTGCGTTAGCTGTTCAGATCACTTTATATCGCCTCAAATTTCATGAAGGAAATAGTGCCATCCAATCTACACCTAAAAACGCCTTTATTGAATTCACAGAGTTAGATGTTTTCGTTTAAAATAGTGTTCAGCGTTTCGTTTCCAAATGTTAATGAGTGTGCATGCGCTGGGCACACATTTTTATTCCTATTTGCTTTGGACTCAGTTTATTTGACTTCTTGTCTCGTGCCAGCAGGTGTGTTTGGTGGCAGCAAACTGCACTAGGAATACAGCTAGGGAGGGGAGGGGGGGGAGGGGGGAGATGGGGGGAGGGGGGAGATGGGGGGAGGGGGGAGATGGGGGGGAGGGGGGAGCTGGGGGCGAAGGGGGAGAGGACGGGGAAAAGGAGGGAGAAGGAGGGAAGGGAAAGAGGAAGAGGAGGATGAGAGAGTGAAAGAAAAGGGGAAAAGGTGGGTGAGGAAGGAAAGGAGGGAGCAGGAGGGAGAGGAGAAGGAGGAAGTAGAGAAGGGAGGGGAAGAAGAGAGAGAGGAAGATGGAGTAAAAGAAATATCTAGTGTTTCTGCCTGTTCCTCTCTCTATGTCTCTCTCGCTCTTTCTTTCTCTTAGTCAACGTCTGTTTGTTGGGCCATGAGGACGAGAAGGAGGGAGAGAGGGAAACATACCGTTAGCAAAGTTGTCTCTTGCGACATTGGCTACAAGTAATATTTACATGACAAAGTTTTTCACACAAACGGAACGAAAGTCGTGACATATTTCTACCTCTGCGTCTCATACTTTTTTTTATATATGTTTACTTAACGATGTGCCGACACAACTAGCCATGAAGAATTGATGAATTCTCCTCCTGCTCTCGCTCCTTTCCTTTCGTCCTCTCATGCATACGCTGACAAGCTGTCCGTTTAGCTGAGGCACAAAATCTGTTCCATCTGCTGAGGCTTTTTGCACTATGATTAAAAACAACAACAGCAACAACAACAAATTGCTGCAATTATGTCCATTACTCGCACGTGCGTCTGAGACTGGGGTTCTGGCTAGTTTCCAAGCGTTGGCATTCCAAATATAAGCAACGAAAGGGTAATTTCTAAATATCGCAGTACAAGGGAAATTGTAAAAAATCGTAGAATGAGGGAATTTCTAAATATCGCAGAAAAGGGGAAATTTTGAATATCGCAGAATGAGGAAACTGCAAATACCGCAATACAAGAAAAGGAAGTTTCTCAATATCAACTTATTAAGTAATTTTGAATGCACCAGATATTCAGTCCTAGCTACACAACGTTCCCTATTGCTCGTTGTTACTAGAGAACACAAGGAAAAAAAAATACATACATTTTCTGTAGAATTACGGTCCATATTCCTGGAACATTGTATGCGAACCAATAAAGGAAGAATTCCAAACATTACAGGTATCGCTTTACACCTTGAAGTTTTCGTACTGTAAAACAATGGATCCCAAATCCTGACTGTACAGTTACGGTCAATATACGCTGGCCAGAACGTGAGACACAAGTCAAGGAGAAAGTTTGACCATTAACGATAGCCTTGTCCACCTCCACAATATTCTGCTGTTGTTAAGGAACGAACGTAAACGAAAAAAACTCTAGATCGTTACTGTACAGTTACGACCAATATTCC